ATTTAGTTTGGTTTGCATGAACAGATATCGACTGCCTTTCTGTTTCTTAAAAGCCTGCAGGTCGTTCAGGCTCAGGCTTCTGGTTGTCTAGGCTTTTAGGATCCTGGGGCAAGTGTGTGGCTGGTTTGGTCTCCAGAGCTATTAGGAAAAGGAAACTCAGCCACTTGTGGCACAGGACTGGGGCTCCCTTGGGGGGCCAGATAAACAGCTCTAGACACAGGCCTGGACTGGGCATACTGAAACACATCGGCTTCTTAGCAAGAGGAATTCATCGCTAGCACCTAGGACGCTCGGACCCTATCCGCGACGGGAAAAATCCCCCCAAACCCAGTCAAAGTAAAGGTCTTATCCCCCTCTAGTCTTGGTGGATTATAAATCGTCCCTTAGACAATTTCCTCTGACCCAAATTATGCAGTTTGCTGCCATCTACCGTCCGTTCGGGGACAGGCGGCTTCGGCACAGCTAGCCTCTCGACACTCCCCAACCCCTGCGGGTTTGCATGGAGCCCGGGCCGCGCGGTTCGGTTCGGTGGGATCCGGCCCATGCTGGTGCTCTCTACTGCATCTTAGTCCCCGGGTGGAGATCAGAAAACGGAACGAGTCTCTTGTCACGTTCTCCTCAACCTTCTCCCATCTCCTGCAGAGATCCCAGCCACAAACCTGGAGGCTGGCAGAGGAAGAGGCAGATGTCGAGAGAGGAGTAATACTGTAACCCACGGACAGGGGGTACTGAACCAAAGGGTTAAGGGTTCAGACCCACGACCCCCCACCACCCCCACCTAAGACACGAGACAGGATTGGGCAGCTGGAGAGATGTGAGGCCAAAATCTGTTCAAGGTTTATTTAGTTTTCTTCTCAGCCAAAAGGAGGGGGTGGGGGGGCAGTCAGGGGAGGCGCCGACCAGGCAGGTTCCACTCGGTTGTTAAAAGACAAACCCAGTCTGTGTTCTTCCAGTTGGTTTGTGGGTCTTGCCAATTCCTAAGCTGGTGAGCCCGCGGTGAAGGAGTTGAACTGAGTTTTCTGGAAACTGCTGGTGTCTGCAAGTGAGTGTTGGTCCCCTCCCCCATTCTCGATCGTTTCAAGCGAAATCGACGCAAAAAAAAAAAAATGCTTTGGTGGAAAATCGGGAGTGAAGAGAAACCATCAAAGAACCAAAACCTCTGTAATTTCCGATCCTGTGGGACCCCTCACACCCGGTTAACGGAACCGCTTTCCCAGAAGGGGGTGGCGAGGGCTGGGTGCCCGCCTCCTCTGCCTCGGCATTGGAGTCTTGGCCCCGGTCTCACCGGTTACTGATTAGCTCGGGCTTTCAAGCTGCAAGAGGAAGCGCTGGCTGCCCCCTTTCAAGGTGCGGTGGCCCCCGTTCCTGGGCGGGGGCTCCAGGAAATTGCCTGCCGTGCTGGGCTGGCCAAGGTGTTACTAAGGTCTGGCTGGGAGCTGTGGGTCTAGAGGCCCTGTAGGGCTGGGGGCACCCCCCCCCCGCCCTAGACGACTCTAGAGTCTGAGCCTCTCTCTGAAGCAGATCTTTCCCCTTCTGCTTCGAGAGAGTGACTTTCTGGCGGCTGGATGGCCAGGCTCAGTGAGTCGCTCTGCGGGAGGCCCCGAGGGATCTGGCAGGCAGGTCTGAAGCCCTCCTAAATTTTTTTTTTCCTTTGAGCAATCAGAAGGAAATGTAGGGAAGGGAAATCAAGCTACTACAGAGGCTTGAAACACTTCGGGGCTCTTAGGGTAAGGGTGAACCCGGAGGGGTGGAGCGAAGGCTCTCCCACTACTCCTAGAAGATCAGAGAGGATGCCGCTCATTTGCATAATGGAAATGAGGTCTTTGTACCTCGATTTGGACTAGTCGATTTTAGGGCAGGGTGTCCAAGCAAAGAGCCTCTTTCCAGTCTGTGGGAGCCACTACATTGCCCCACTGGGGAACATTTCAGACAGCCAGAATCCAGGAGGAGAATTGGGTTTGAGAGATTTTCATCCGCCCCACCCCAGGTACAATTGGTGGAATAGGAGAAGGTACCCACTATCAAGGAGCTGGGAGGGGAGAGCTTTGTATCTTAGAGGACATAGGGAGCCTAGCTAATGTCTCACCTCCTCCTCATACAGGCAAATGCCATTCCTAAAACCATCACCTTCTGGAGATTTTCACTCCTGAGCTGCACATGACTTAGGCAACATTTCTCTGGGAGCTGGAATGTGCGTGCTTACCCACGGGACTGCAGACTCAAAGCACAGAAAATCACAATTATAAATCCTGCCTGTGGGGTATCAGGACAATCCCTGTGCTGTGTACTCAAGCCTCGGTATATATTTACATCCCTCTCCCAGTGAGTTGAGGGGGTGACAATCCTGACAGAGAACTGGCTGATGCCTGCTGTGTATTTACATATTTCCCAGTGGAGACAGACAAACCGAGGTGGATGGAACCACAGACAGATCAGTAGAGATCTGGCTCCAGAAACCAGGCGGTCTCTGGCCCAGCTCTGCCTGCCTGCCTTTTTTCCCAAACAAACGGATCAGATGAATAAACGCTCATAAATACCTCTGGGCTTAGATAAGAGCGATGAGGCGCTATTTCCTTTCATGCTGGACTCCAGGCGCCCTGGTCCTGCCCATAGTGGCTCCATCTCCAGACAGGCAACCTGCAGAGGTGAGGTTAATTTGGAGGCTGCTGCTCTAAAGGATAAAGCAATTATTTTCCTGCCTTTATCACAGGGGCAGGCCTCCTCTCTCACCTCCTCTTATGTTTCTTTTTTCTTTTTCTTTTTCTTTTTTTTTAACATGGGCAATTATACCATCTTTCCCATGATGAGGACATTGTGACCAGGGAGCAGGGCTGAGGCCCAAGGCCCATCCTCAGTGGCAAGATGGGGGTGACTGTAAATATTCTTTTGCATCCTGTTCTCTTGCTGAAACAGCGCCTACTCCTCTCTCAGTATAGGCCCAGCCATTTCTAGATTGGAGCATTTCTGCTTTCTGCATCATTAAGGAGGTCTGAGATTCTTTTAACACTCGCCCCCCCCCCATGGATTAAGGCTAATAGAGACACCCAGGGATGGTCATTGTGCCACAAAAGAACAGCCTAGCAGTAGCTTTGAGTTCAAAGAGCTTCAGAGGCCACTTTGCAGCCGAAGAAATCCTCACCCTTGATCACCCACCCTCGGCCCTCTCCTATTATCAGTAGACAGAGCTGGACCACAAAAAGGAGCCCAAAGAACAAGGCAGAGATGGGTCAACCTGGCCTGGCCTGGCCTCCGACATCATCTTATGACTCAGTCCTCCCTGTATTCAGGTTGGAAGGGAAGTTGTTACTCTAAACTGTCTGGCCTGTGTGCGCATATTAGAATGTTAGAAATACAGTGCGTCCCTCAGCTGGGGAATCTGTGCTCATTTTCTTTGGATGAAAGAGGAAGAGAGCGTAGATAGAGCCTTTCATTTCCAAGTTCTCACCGCGGCAAAGCAGGTGATACAGACATGGGCATGGGAAGGGGGCCTGAAGAGTGGCGGAGGGACGGACAGAAGGCCTGTGGGGATTGAGAGCCGGAGTGAGCATGCCAGCAGACGATTAAAGGTGGTTACTGAGTCCCTAGGAAGACCTAGCAGCCTTCCTTCCTTACAAAACTAAATCTAAACCACGTCCTGGGAGGGGGTTTCAAAGAGAATTGACAATTTATAGAGAGAGCAAGGAAAAAAGAGAAGGTACTTTTCGATGTGCTCTTCTCCAATATGAGGATCTGAAGACTCATCCCCTCCCCCCCAAAATAGGGTTTCTTTGAGTAGCCTTAGCGTCCTGGAACTCCAAGTGCTCCACGACCACCCACTCATCTACTCACATTTCTAAGAGGGCAATTTCTTCCCCTATCTAGATTTACTGGAACATCCTTGATGCTAAAGCTCTGTAGCCAGGGATTATTCTTGCATCAGTTGGGGTGGGGGTTAAGTATGGATTGAGTGGAGATGAGTGTAGGTTGCAGGCAGAATAAGATGCGAAGTCACACAGGCTGGGCTGCACCTTACTCCTCTACTCTGTATCATCAAATTTAGGGATTGTTAGTTTCTTTCTCCGGGGCCCTGTTCCCAGTCAAGACTGCAATCGGGAGGCTGAGCTGTCTTGGGCTTAAGGACCCGGTTGCCAGAAGCTCCTAGCTTAGTGGAGCAGCCAGAGGCTCACATAACCCTGACATTTCCTTCTTCTGGGTCTTCTAGGCAGAGGGATCTGGCTCGCCCCTCTAGCCTTGAGAGTTGTGGAGAAGCAGGGATGCGATAAACCTAAGCTTGCAAAGCGGAGAGACAGACCTGATAAGCAGGACAAACGATTTCCCAAACCTGCGAAGGAGGGTGCTTCTTCTTCCCCTGTTTCTAAAATGAAGCAAATTAGCGTACAACTTCGTTCCCCCTTTACCAGCACAAAACCCTAGAAACAGACCTTCCCCCCTTCCTTCCCTCTCAACGAGATTCGTGGGCATTTACCCAGCCCTCCTTTGAGGGTACGGGCCCATGCAACGCAGGGGTTAACTTTTCTGAAAACACAATTAACTTTTCCCTGTTTCTGCGTGGAGTGGGGGGTGGTGGTGTATTTATTTCATCACTGGGGAATGGGGTGATCTCCATCCAAATGTTCCCTCCTCCCTCAAAAGCACAGACGTCTCTTTCGCAGATCCTACGTAGGTGGGAGAGAGAGAGAGAGAGAGAGAGAGAGAGAGAGAGAGAGAGAGAGAGAGAGAGAGAGAGAGAGGAGGGGGAAAAGGTTGATAGGTTTGTGCGCGGGTCCCTCGTGCAGGCTGCGCTCCTCCTGGGTGCTATTTGACAATTCCTGCCTCTGCCATTGGTCAGTGTTGGATCAGATGGTTGTATTTCCTTCTGGCCCTCACTGGCACCTCGCCATCCCCCCTCAGCTAAAACCCAATCTCGGCTATACTACTAATAGGCGCGGCGCTCGGACTATAAAACACAACAAATCATAAACCCGCCGGAGCAGCAGCGGTCGCGCGCGCCTCCCCTCCCGATGAGTTCCTATTTCGTGAACTCCACCTTCCCCGTCACTCTGGCCAGCGGGCAGGAGTCCTTCCTGGGCCAGCTGCCGCTCTACTCGTCGGGCTATGCGGACCCGCTGCGGCACTACCCCGCGCCTTACGGGCCGGGACCGGGCCAGGACAAGGGCTTTGCGGCATCCTCCTATTACCCACCAGCCGGCGGCGGCTACGGCCGGGCGGCGCCCTGCGACTACGGGCCGGCGCCTGCCTTCTACCGGGAGAAGGACGCGGCCTGCGCCCTCTCCGGCGCTGACGAGCCGCCCCCGTTCCATCCCGAGCCGCGGAAGTCCGACTGCGCACAGGACAAGAGCGTGTTCGGAGAGACCGAAGAGCAGAAGTGCTCCACGCCAGTCTACCCGTGGATGCAACGCATGAATTCGTGCAACAGTGAGTGAGACTTCCTGCTGTCCCGAGCCGGAGGTGGGGGGGGGGTCATGCAAGAAGGCAGAACTAGCGAGTGTCCCCACCCCACCCCATTCTCCCACTGGGAACTAGTGGAGGAACTAGGTGGATATCTCAGGAGACAGGGCAAGATGGGGTCCCTGCCTCCAGATCGGTGCCCTTGCCCGCAGAAGTTGCGAAGTTTGCAAAGTCCCAGCTGCACAGTAAGGCGGGGGGAGTGAGTGGGCTTGAGAGAGAGAGAGACAGGCCTGGGCTAGGACTGCTGATCAGGAAGAGGACAGGGGACTCAGTCTCTGGTTTTGCTTTCCTCTGTGTCCTTCCCCTCTCTTATCCGGATCTGCCCGGGTTCCCATCCAGCTACCTTAAAGACCACTCCATTAAAAACAAGAGTGCGTCATGAAGTGGGGGGTGGGGGGTGGCACGACGCCGGCAAGGGCAAGTTTACTGGGTCCTGGCCGTGTGTGTGTGTGTGGGGGGGGCTGGGGATCGGTAAGACACCCGGAAAGGGGTGGTAGTCTGAGGAAGGAAGAATAAGAGGGGACAGGCGGAGGGAGTGAGAGGGACAGGCCGGCGCCTGGGTCTCAGGTTGGATTATCTGTCGGCTTCAAGTCCCAATTGATGTCCATTAGCGGGACACGAAAGTGAGGAGCTGTTAATGCGGACTATGGATCGATCCACGTCATTATGGATTAAGGGCCAGAATCTATCATCGAGTAGGGTAAGGGAGAGCCGGATGGATAGAAAGAAAAGGAAAGGAAAGAAAAACCCAGCTAGTAGGAGACGCACCTGGCCAGTCCCTCCCCCTGAGCTCAGGTGGGAGTCCAACGGCCCCTCCCCTCCCCCACCAAAAGTCTAGACGGAAAGAAAGCACAGGCCTAGGAGTCCAGGAGGGAATCTGGAGGGGGCGCTGGAGGAGTGGGAAAGGGGGACCAGGGAATGGGAGAAGGGGAAGAGGACCAGCTAGCATTGCGTTTGAGGGCCGAGTGGGGGAGGGGGCTGTGTGTGGGCTTGGTGTGGTCACCCCCGGCCTCAGTTTCTCCTCTCTGCGTAACAGGTTCTTCATTTGGGCCCAGCGGTCGGCGAGGTCGCCAGACCTACACGCGCTACCAGACCCTGGAGCTGGAGAAGGAGTTCCACTACAACCGCTACCTGACCCGGCGGCGGCGCATCGAGATCGCGCA